ATGGTATTTATATTGTGTACACTAAAGTGTGCATCTTTGTGTACAAATAGCAAATTTCCATTTTTATTTTTTTTAACAAAAGATTCGGGGTCAAATATTGTGTTCTGATGGCATGACTATGTCACTTCTAAAAATGATGTCACATCTTTGAATCATATTGCAGTTCAAGGGTGTTGACCTTAACATAGAGCATATATTATAATAGGTTAGGAAGAATTGCAAAAAAAAAGTTTTGGGACACTTTTCAAAAAAATGTGCAGACCATATGATACAACGTACTAGCTTTCAATCGGACCTTCTTTTTCTTTTGTGTTATTTTTGTTTTGAAAAATAACTTCTTTATCTATATATATTTAAAAAGGGAATCATATGTCCCATAACTGTTCCCGCCTAAGAAATTCACGTGGTCAACAATTGCACTTCTTCCGGTTAATTTATCTGACTTTGGTAATTGCCTGCTATTAAATGTCAAATGCGAGCACTCAACTGAACCATTCATTTGCCCTCCACATTACTAGCATATTATTGGTTAGTTCATTGTTATCAATTAAATTATATCCGTAGTACTTCGTATGTATTCACATACACATGCCATAGAGAGATACAACATGCCCCGGTAAAAATGGAGCACTATTTAGATTTTTTATTTTATGTAAAATTTTCAAGCATACAAAAAAATGACACCACATCCCTGAAGATCCCTAGAATTGGCGGTACAGTTATTTGGGAGAATGTAAGTTGAATTTTGATCGCACTCTGATGGAAAGAGAGTAGAATTCGATCTTAAATCATTGCTTTGAATTGAATGCGGTCCTCTCCCTTGTGGCACTCTCTTTCTTTTAGATGAGCTACGCTCTCTCCAAAAAGTGTAATTACATTTGTTTTGAAAAGCTTTTGTGTTTATGTTTCTATTTAGTGCATACTTAGTTTTTTTTTAAAAAATGAAATAAAAGTTATTGACAAAAATATGACTAATAATTAGTATAGTGTAGTTTCGTAATCACCAAGTATAAAACATTGAATATAAGTTATTATGAATAAATTACTACTACGTATTAATTGTATTATAGTCATTACTCTTAAAAGATAGTGTTTCTGTAAAAAACACTTATTTTAATCACGTGTATATGTGTGTGTGATTATTACATACCGAGTACCATTTCATGTGCTATTTTTATACATAATGTTTTTCCACGGTAACACATATGAAGTATTTAAGATACATGATCATTGCTTCTTCTTTTTCCTAAAAGTCATTCACTTTCAAAATAAGCATTTCTTTATCATGACTTTTAAATATATTAAATAAAATAGAAAAAAATATTATCGTCTCGTGCATCGCACGAGTACTATACTAGTTTTAATTTAAACATACTAACTCCGTCCCTCAATACTTGGCCGTGTTTGACCGACATAAAAAAAATAAATTAAAAACTATGTGGTTGAAATATATAGATGAGAGAGAAATAACATGAATCACAAATTCAAAAATTAAAAGAAAAGGTGGCAAAGTTTTTGGGACATTAAAAAAGGGAAACATGACAAAATAATAAGGGACGAATGGAGTAATTCTTTTATGTGTCATTATATAATTAGATTAATAATTTTTTATTTATCTAACGTGCACATTTTAGATTATGGCAAAACCTTGTTGCATATCTATGAATAGAAGCTTTTGTATTTGTTTGATGTTAAACATTTTTTATTAATATGAGACAATTAAAAAAAGACGTGATTTGATATCAGTACGGAATGGTTCCGCACCATTCAGAAATATGACGATACTGAACAACCTTAATTCTGAAATCGAACCATACAGTACCATTTAAATAGCTACCGTATGATGTCAGGTTTTGTGAATCATCGAACCGTCTCAAACTGCAACCCTATAATATATAATTCTTTGACTTATTCCAAAAGTGCAGGACTAGATCGTTTACTCCATCAATATCATGTGATTCCGTTCACTGGACTAATTTTACACACAAATCAAACTAGAGTAGATTAAATTTATGCATATCGAGCATAAACAAATTAGTGAAATATACATTTATCGGACTGGATTACAACATGTCATATCATACCAAACTTGATGAAGGCAAACCATACCATGATTTTTTTCAAAAATTTACATATGCAATATTGGTGTCTTAAGAAAGATCGTAAAGAATATTTAATTTGATATGTTTTTTTATAACTAGTAGTATACCAATTAAAAAGTTACGAGTATAACATAACATTTTATGAATAATAATAGTTTGCTACATATGAACAAAGTAAATTGACGAAGGATTAGTTTTGAAATTAATTAAGTTGCTAGTGTGGCATGTGAAACGTGAAGCTCCTCACTCTTACCCAAATCAACTTTACTTTTTCTTATTATTATCACATAATTGAGCACGCTATATCAAAGATTATGTGACTGGTGAATAAGTTGGCTCATAAGCCCGACAAGCAACAAAAAAGTCACCAAATGGACTCTTAATAAAAAAGTACTTCGTAAAAGGGTAAACCATTCTATTTGGAGTTACATAATGTAATAGTTGGGGTGCGCAAAGCAACCCCCTTTATTAAATATATTAGGATGTTTCTATTCAGGGATTATGGTTGGATTACTCTATCATCCAAAAGCCAAAGTATTATTCAAAAAAGCAAATAAAACACATTATACTATTATGGTCTTTGTTGCTTTTGATTCACACTTTTGTTAATCACGATCTTTGTTTTGACAATAATAAAATTTACTTGGATTTATTTCAGTCTCTGACCAGATCAAATCATATCATACTTCGACAGTTGTAAAATACACAAAAAATAGACATCTACTAAACCAGTTCAGGCCAGATTATACCATATCAATCCAAATGAGAAAATTCTTCTCCTAATAAATACAAGCTTAATCATTATGAGTACATAATTATGATAGTTATGGTTAAATATTGAACACAAATATCTATGACTAAGATTACCATTATAAGCACTTCATTTAAAAGGTTGCATTTATTTTAAAAAACTCTATTTAGTCATGTGTGTGTGTTTATGTTTATTCTTAAAACATGGATAAAATACTAAATAGAATTGGACATATATATTTTTGTAAAATATGATTTATTTAATCTTATTAAAAAGGGTAGAAAATAAAAACTACACTTAAATATGAGTGTAAAAGCTATTGATGTCATATTCAATATTGAATGACAATTATTATAATTATGTTTCAATACTGGTGGCGTAACATGCTTACCGGATTAAAATAATAATAACCAGGTTCCAATACATCAATGTAACACATTTGAAAGACAACACACACTCCAATAAAGCAATTTCTTCAAACTATCAATCATTTCGCAAGTTTGATAGGGTTACACGTTTAAAAATAAAACAATCATCTGATCTCTTTATTATTATATCATATAAATATTAATTAATATAGACTAGGTTTCAAATACAATTTAGAATTATTGGTTCTTGACTTATTATATTTCATTGTTTAAATATTTAAATGTAATGGAAGCATATACAGTGTACAATATAAATGAATATTGTCACAAGTCCTAATATAAATGTATAAAAAATAGAAAATTTGTTTGATTACTTTTTTACTATGTTAATATTCAACATTTTGGCTTGTATACTTTAATATGCACATTATAATTGAATAAAAAAAAATAATGTTTCTTCTTGTATTAATTATTGGTATTGTGACATTTAATGAGTCACATATGCTCAACTTTAATTATAATATGGTGGTATTGTGACCTTTTGACTTCTTTACACCCCAAAAAGAAAATTCTTCATTTATAAATCGGTAAATATGCAATAACGACTATTATGACAGACCTTAGCTACATTGATTTTTCCTTTTTATTTGAGAGAATAAATAGTATATCTATGTAGGATCAGATCCAAATGGAAGGTAAGAGACATAGGCGGAACCAGAAAGTTACAATGGGGTGGACTGGTGGGAAAAATTGAAATACACATACATAATAATAAGTCAAGTCGTCAACATTTTAAATATTAATCAAAGCATCATTTAAGTTGTGTCCTACGCGACTTTAAAGTATAAAATTCATCAATAATAGAATCTACATCTATATTATTGACAAACCCTTTAATGTAGATTATCAATGAATTTTCAAGAAAATCATCTTCCATTTTGTTACGGAGTGCCGTCTTCACACGCTTCATTGTTGAAAATACTCTTTCCGTAGTAGTAGTAGAAACAAGTAGGGTCAAAACAAGGCGAATTAATCTCTTAAGTTATAGTTGTTTATCGGATCCTATATACTACGCCGAATTTTAAAAATCTCAATTCGTTTTTGAACAATTTTCAAGAACAAAACACACAACAATATTTATTAGGTAAAATGGTCGAATAAAACCTTCAATCGTTTCAAACCAATCACTTAAGCCCTATATTAAAAAGTATCATACAAGTTGGCTTACTTAAAAATCGTGAATTTGGTCACTTAATTAATTTTTGTCTTAGTGTAGCAAGTTTTTATATTTAAAAATTCTAAACAAATTTTTAAAATTTGAAGAAATATAGATAAAAATTCTGAAAAATTTCAGAATGGCAGTCACCATTTTTGAAATTTTGAAGTTATTTTGTATACTCTACATCTATTTAAAAGGTATTTACATATTTTTTTATACTTTCACTTTATTTTTTTAGTTTTTGATTTTTGTATATTTCATTTTAACATATTTAATTAATTTATCTATTTTTACATTTATACTATTTTTATATTATTATGATTACATTAATGTTTAAATTTATATGAATTTTTATAAGATTTATCAATAATCCTAATTTAATTTTCTAAACTAACCTTCTATAATTTTAGCTAGTTTTGCATATAATTTATCTTTCTTTTATTAATAAAATATATTTGCAATATAATTTTTTAAAATCTAGTAGAATCGGTCAATGTAATCTTAGAATTTCATAATTTTTTTTCGAGTCTATTAATTTTAATTTTTAAGCTATCAAAAGGTTCTAAATGATTTATTGGCCCAAAGTGTTTGATTCGGTCCAATTAGAAATTCACATTCGCAAGATCTGGAATAACCTAGAATCGATCGTGTACCAATTTAGGCGATCCGGCTTCTCCCTTTACCGCTCATCTCAGCCAGACGGTCGCACGCTATATTGCTCTCTCCGTTTCCAGCTCCTCTTCTTCCCCTTAGTCGGACCGAGGTTAGTCGATTATTACCGTCTTCTTATTTGATCGCATTTTGTTTTGTTTGTTCGTACATGTCTTTTTATATCTTATCAGCAGCGAATAGATCAAGCTCAGATGGTGTTGTTGAGCTTCGTTCTGTATCTTCTATTTCAGTTAAACGATGAGTAATTTTATAAATTAAGGAGTTGTAATAAGCTGTAATCTAATGACCAACCAATCTGCTGGCAGTGTTGCCTTAGTACGGAGGAGAGCCCCAGTTCTGCAGATTAACTGTGAGCACGTATCACACCATCCCGCGATGACATCATGATGATGTCATAGTGGCGTCATCATTGTCAAGCGGGAACAGTTACCCCAGGCGGTCCAGCTTTTATATTTTATATTGAGATCAGAAGTGAATTTTCAGGACTCAAATGATTCATATCGTTTAAGTGATTGCTAATTAACTGTGTCATATCATTTCAGGTTTTCTGATCTGCTAGACTACACAATCAAGCGCACACTACAAAAATGAGCGTGGTAGGGTTTGACTTTGGGAATGAAAGTGGTGTGGTCGCAGTTGCTAGACAGAGGGGGATTGATGTTGTACTTAATGAAGAATCAAAGAGGGAAACACCAGCTATTGTCTGCTTTGGTGAAAAGCAACGTTTCCTTGGTACAGCTGGTGCTGCATCTAGTATGATGAACCCAAAGAGTACAATCTCTCAGATAAAGAGATTGATTGGACGCCAATTTTCGGATCCGGAGTTGCAAAGAGATCTCAAGTCTCTTCCTTTCTCTGTGACTGCAGGACCTGATGGATACCCATTGATCCATGCCCGATATTTGGGTGAAATGAAGACATTCACACCCACCCAGGTTCTTGGGATGGTGTTATCAAATCTGAAGAGCATTGCTGAGAAGAACCTCAATGCTGCTGTAGTTGATTGCTGCATTGGGATACCAATATATTTCACTGATCTGCAGAGAAGAGCTGTAATTGATGCCGCCACAATTGCTGGACTTCACCCACTACGTCTATTCCATGAAACTACAGCCACTGCTTTGGCTTATGGTATCTATAAGACAGATTTACCCGAAACTGACCCACTAAATGTCGCCTTTGTTGATATTGGACATGCTAGCATGCAAGTGTGTGTTGCTGCCTTTAAGAAAGGTCAGTTGAAGATATTAGCACATTCATTTGATAGATCACTTGGTGGTAGAGATTTTGATGAAGCCCTTTTCCAGCACTTTGCTTCAAAGTTCAAGGACGAATACAAGATTGATGTCCTCCAGAATGCCAGGGCTTGTCTTAGGCTGCGTGCTGCTTGTGAGAAGCTGAAGAAAGTTCTCAGTGCAAATCCTGAGGCACCTCTGAATATCGAGTGCCTGATGGATGAAAAGGATGTCAGGGGATTCATCAAAAGAGATGAATTTGAGCAGATAAGTATGCCAATATTGGAAAGAGTGAAAAAGCCATTAGAAAAAGCCCTCGCAGAAGCTGGACTTGCTGTGGAAAATTTCCATGCTATTGAGGTTGTTGGTTCTGGATCACGAGTCCCTGCAATCATTAAAATTTTGACTGAATTCTTTGGCAAGGAGCCTAGACGTACAATGAATGCAAGTGAGTGTGTTGCTAAAGGCTGTGCTTTACAGTGTGCTATCCTCAGTCCCACTTTTAAAGTGCGAGACTTTCAGGTAAAATCTTCTTGATTTTTTTAGTTTTGACAAGATTAATAGTCCATAACATTCTTAGCTATGAGTTAATATTGCTCTGTTTCTTGTTGGATGAAGGTCAATGAGAGTTTCCCCTTCCCGATAGCTATTTCATGGAAAGGGTCCGCTCCAGATGCTCAAAATGGACTTGCAGAAAATTCGCAGAGCAGTGTTGTTTTCCAAAAGGGGAACCCAATTCCAAGTGTGAAATCTTTGACGTTCTATAGATCCGGTACATTCCAAGTTGATGTAAACTATGCTGATGTCAGTGAACTGCAAGCACCCCAAAAAATAAGTACATATACGGTATTGATTTATTTCTCCCTGATCTTTGTAGTGTGTAATTGAGTATACATAATCTGAAGCGAAATTTAAAAGCTCATAACCTTTCCTTGCTTTAATGGATAGATTGGTCCATTCCATTGTGCAAATGGGGCAGAGCGCTCTAGGGTCAAGATCAGAGCACGTCTAAATCTGCATGGTGTTGTTTCTATTGATTCAGCAACAGTATGTGATGGATTTTCTTTTGGTATTGTGAATACTACTTAGTTTCTAGTAAATTGAATTGATGGTTTGTTTGGTTTTGATTCTTTAGCTTCTGGAAGAAGAAGAAGTTGAAGTCCCAGTTGCAAAAGAACCAGAAAAAGAGTCGGCCAAAATGGAAACCGATGATATATCTCACACTGATTCCTCTGGAACTGATGTGAACATGCAAGATGCCAAAGGCACCTCAGATTCTTCTGCTCCTGAGAATCTTGTCCCTGAGTCTGGGGACAACCCTGTCCAAATGGAGACAGATACTAAGGTCTGTGCTGTAATTCCTCATGTATCTTGCACTGAAATTGATCCCATCTTTCCAGTTTCTCAATCAGTTGATCTTTCTCTCCTTTATAGACTGATGCTCCCAAGAGAAAGGTCAAGAAAACAAATGTACCAGTCTCAGAAATGGTTTATGGAGCATTGTCCGCAACTGATGTTCAGAAGGCTGTTGAAAAGGAATATGAAATGGCATTGCAGGATCGTGTAATGGAAGAAACAAAGGACAAGAAGAATGCTGTAGAAGCTTATGTTTATGACATGAGGAACAAGGTACTTTTTGGTTTCCTTGTAGATCTTTTTCCAAATAAAACCTCTATGTTTAAGTGCTTGTTTCACATGTGCGGAACCCTTTTAAAAATTTCCAGCTCAATGACAAGTATCAAGAGTTCATAGTTGATTCAGAAAAAGAGCAGTTCATTGCTAAACTTCAAGAAGTGGAAGACTGGTTATACGAAGATGGGGAGGATGAAACCAAAGGTGTTTATATTTCCAAACTTGAAGAGCTTAAAAAGGTATGTACATAAACTTTGAGACATTATAGATTATTTTGCTATCCTTGTGACACGGATGACTTGATATATAGCACATGTTGAAATCTTTTACATTTTGCAGCAAGGTGATCCCATTGAAGAGCGCTACAAGGAGTTCACAGAGAGGGGAACTGTCATTGATCAACTAAATCATTGCATCAACAGTTACAGAGAGGTTGCTATGTCAAATGATGCTAAGTTTGAGCACATTGAATTAGCAGAGAAGCAGAAGGTGAGCAACAAATGTTGCATTATCCCTTCAATCTTTATTTAAATCTTTGGGAAATGCTAGAGGTCGAAAGTAGTGAGGAGCTTGTAAGGAAACAAAATATGGGTATAGGGGAAAAAGTGCTTTAATTCAATACGTAGTATATCAATTCTAGATTTTTGTTTGTACCCATTTTCATTTATTAAATACTCCCGTATGTGCTTATTAAGTTTATCTTCTCTTTTTCTCGTATTTCGTATGTAAAATCAAGTATCTGGAAATCATTGTTCTTGGTGCTTCTTTCTGTCTGTTTCTGTCCCTCTATTTTATTTTGTTTCATAAATACAACCAAACATTGAAAAGTTATTTGTTTGTAGTACTTTTTACCTTTTCCTTGGCCGCTTTTTCATGGCCTCCAAAACAGCCCAGCTGAAGGTTATTATTTGAAGGTTAAATTGTCTCTAATTGGATGTGTCACGATGAAGGTTATTATTTGAATTTGAATGAAGGTTAATTGTTTCTGATTGGACGCGTCTGCACTGTCAAACAGGTCTTGAACGAGTGTGTTGAAGCTGAAGCTTGGTTGAGACAGAAAAGGGAGCAACAAGATGGGCTTCCGAAACATGCCACTCCTGTTCTACTGTCTTCTGATATCAGGAAGAAGGCTGAAGCACTTGACAGGTACTCTTTTTAATTGCCTCATTCTCCTTCAAATAATAGCAATTCTGTCATCTTTTGAGAGTTAATGTGGTTATTTAAAATTTTTATGGAATGTGCAAGATTTCCCTTTAGGGTCTCTTTGGACCCCCATAAATACTAGGGAAAAAAGAAGGAAAACAGAGCAAAATTTGAACCTAAAGAATATTTAGGGAGTTAATGAAAGACATGGAGAAATAATTTAAATATCCCATACTTTGAAGGGTGTCTGAGGATTATACATGTAACATATACACCCAAACTTTATATAAAAAGTTATGTTAGCACTATGATTAAATATGATGTTTCCTCATGTATTATTATTATTTTTTATTTCACAAATGAAATTTTACAATATCAATTGCATCCAAACAAGCTTAGAGTATATTTTAAATTATATACTTGCAATAAATTTATACTTGTAAGAAAACCATACAAACAATGAAAATAACTTTTTATATAAAGTTCAGGGTATATATGTTACATATGCAAGTTTAAGATACTTATCTCACACCCCTTCAAAGTTTTGGGTATTTATATTAGTTTCCCCTAAAAGATATACAATTAAACAATATTTTCAGTTTTATCTATGATTGAAATAGAAATTTAATACCACGTATATTTTAGCATGTGTTTAAAGCTACTCATTTTGTTTTTCAAACAAAAAAAGTTTCCTTGCATTATCTTTGTTGAGCCATAATATTCGCTGATTTTTGTTACAACTATCTCCACAGGTTTTGCAGGCCAATAATGACAAAGCCAAAGCCAAAACCCGTAGCCAAACCTACATCTTCTACTGAACCACAGTCGCCACAGACCTCCCAAGATAGCGAGGTCCATCATCAGCAAGAGGGAGGAGGCCCCACCAATCCAAACCACAATGTAAATGAAAATGCGACAGGTGAAGTGCACATGGAGACTGAACCAATGGAAACAGAGGCTGATTCTGCCCCAAATGGAACCTAGGTCTTCTTTGCCTTCTCCATAATGTGACGATCCTGGACTGTTTTTTCCTGAGGATTGATTAGCCCGATGTGGCAGTAATATATTCATTTTTATGGGCTTTATTTTAATTTTGAGCTATGTACAAGAACTGGAGTTTGTCTGCTTAAACTATGTCTTTAACTTTAGATTGTCTCACTATGAGAATTTCTGAAGTGGATTTTGCATGTACTCTAAAAAATGGAATTTAAGAGTGTCTACTATGATTATGCTGAGTTTTTTCTTTTGTCTGACCAAAAAGGCATTTCCTAGTCCTCTGGAAATCTTATCCTGGAAGAATTCTTTGATTTTGTTGAGCGTTTTCTCTTGTCAATTTCTTTTGTTTGAAGGCCTTTTACTTGCATAGGTGCATAGTGCCACAGTCTCGTCATGTATACGCCACTTTTCTAAAATACATTCACGGTTTCACGTACTTGCTAGTTGCTACCTCAGAGTAGGGATGGAACGGGCCCGGGCCGCCCGGCCCATGAACCGGCCTGGCCCGCTACTGTGCGGGCCCGGCCTGGTCTTGGGTAACCGGTTTCGGGCCTAGGCCTGGCCCGTGGATTGGAACGGGTCGGGTACAGGCCTTCAATTTAGTGAACCGGCTTGGCCGGGTTGGGCCTGGTTCGTAGGGGTGGACTCGGGCCGGGCCAACCGGCCCGGAACTGGACCGGCCCGGTGGGATGGCGGTTCGGGCTCAGGCCCTTCAAAAGGTGAACCATCTCGGTCAGTTCGAGCCCGGGCCGGGCCAATTTTTTTTTGATTTTTTTTAAGTTTTTGGGTTGGGCTGGGTATTTTGGGCCATTTGAGGTGGTTAGGGTTGGTTTGGGGGTTTGGGGGAGGGTTGGGGGTTAACTAGGAAAAGGCAAAAAAAAATAAAAAAAATAAAACAGAGGCCCGGTCCGGCTTGGACCCGGTGGTTACCCGGGCCGGTTCCGGGCCTCCCCTTCTTGAACTGAGGCCCGGCCGGGCCCAGGCCCGAACCGGGCCCGAACCGAAAGCGGTCCATGCCTACCGGTTTGAGCCTTTTTTTGGGTTTGGGTTGGGTTTAGCTGGGTATTTTCGAGGGGTTTGGGGGATGGGGATTGGGAGTGGGGGAGTGGGGGTGAAATAAATAAGAAAAAAAAAAATTAACCGGAATCGGCCAGGAATCGCCGCCTACCCGGACCGGTCCCGGTTCACCCATTCCCAAAAAAAGCTTGGCCGGGTCCAGGCTCGAACCGGAATCGCCCCTGCCTAGGGATGGACTCAACCGGCCCGGCCCAGAATCGACCTAGCCCGCTACTGTGCGGGCTCGGACCAGACCGGGACCGGGACCGGTTGGCCGGTTTCGGGCTTTTAGCCCGTTTGGGCGGGTCAGGCCGGGCTCGGGTTGTTTTGGGCGAACCGGCCCGGGCGGTTCGGGCCGGACTCGGGTCAATTTTTTTTTTCAATTTTTTTTCTTTTCTTAGGGTAGGGTTGGGTGTTTTGGGGAGGGTTGGGGGTGGGGGTGAGGGGGGGGGGGGGTCGGGGGATAACAAGAAAGCAAAAAAAAAAATTAGACATTGAACCGGGCCTGGCCCGATCCGGTTAGGCCCGGACCCGGTATCAACCCGGGTCGTTTCCGGGCCCAAGGATTTGCTAAAAAAGCCCGCCCGGGCCCGGCCCAGAAGCGGAACCGGACCGGCTCGGGTCCATCCCTACCCCTGCCTGGGTCCATCACAACTTAGAGTTTAGTCGTTTTTTTTGTCTGAATGGAGTTTTAAATTGTGGTACGCTAGCCGCCTGCCGGCTGCCCTCTGTTCTTTAAGTTTCTTGCCCTTGGCATTTTATTTCCAATGCAAACCCGAAGTTAGTCCGTCTAGGGATGGATTCGGTTCGGGCCACCCGGCCCGTTACCCAGCCTGGCCCGGTACTGTGCGGGCCCGGGACCGCCCTGGTCCGGCGGTCCGGGACAAGGTGTGGACCCGAACCGGTGAGGGAAGCGGGGACGGGCTTGGTTCCTGCAAAAGGTGACCCGGCCTGGCCGGGTCGGACCTGGGTCCGGGTCACGACTTTTTTATTATTTTTTTGTTTGTTCCAAAAATGACCGTTGGGGTGGGCTGGGAACAACCCAAACGGCTATATAGCCGTTGGATGGGCTGCAGGGGGGTCCGGGTGGTTTGGGGGGTGGGGGGTAAAAAAAATCTATAAATACTCATAATCTTAATCATTTTTCCATAATTGTTCTCCAACTCTTCCTAAATCCTACTCTTAACTCTCTACTCTCTAATTATCTTCATCTTCTCAAATTCTCTTATTCTCCAATATATTATATTTATATATCTACTTTATATTAATTATCTACTTATAATTTATAAATACATACATTATATTACTTATATTTCTTATCTAAATATATATTACTTATACATTTATTATATCTATTAATATAGTTGGAATTATATCTAATTAATTTGAAGTCATTCTATTACTCAATTGTACCTTCAATATAGTTGGAGATTCCGATTGATTAATTTTACCTTCAATTCTCAATTGTAACTTGTAAAGTTGTAGTTCATATTTCAAATAAATACACGTTCATTTTTTTATATGTAGCATTTTGTACTGAATTCATAAAATTAATTAATTAATTTTACATTATGTAATTTATTCAAACTAAAACATACAAAAAAAATTGAAATCAAAAGCCCCAAACGGCTATATAGCCGTTGGGCACTTTGGTTGTTTGAAATTTGAATCAATAGAGGCATAGAGCCGTTGGGGGTGGGGGTGGGGTGTGGGTACAAAACATTCTATAAATACTTTTATTTTCTAACATTTTTATACACATCTTCTCCAACATCCAATCTCTAATCTCCATTCTCCATCTAGATCTCCATCTATTGTAGAATTATTATATCTACCATTTTTAAGATGTAATGTTAATATGCCGTTATACGGTATAATTTTGATAAGCAGAAGGACCTGAGGACCAGGATGTGGTACGCAATTTGCAAATGATGCGGGAAAAAGTGTAGCATGTGGGTTTCACGCGGATACGGGATGACAATGAAGCATATTAAGTCATGTGACAAAGCCAAAGGACCGGGAGGTGCGGGAAGTTCCGATTGATTACAGTTTACAAAATGTATTTCATATTGTATGTTTCTCTTAATTGTCAAATGTAGTTCCTATTTCATTTCAAATAAATGCACTTGAAGTTTGTTTTTAATACTTGTATAAAACTATAAAGTATAAAGTATAAAAATAAATTGGATTTACCCGGCCTGACCTGGCCCGACGGGTGGCCCGACCCGTGACCCGGATGGGTGGCCCGGCCCGAACCGGACCCGTCCAGACCTCGGACCGGTCCCGGGTCCATAAGTTACAAACCGGCAGCCCAGCCGGTCCTAGGCCCGACCCGAGTCCATGTCTAAGTCCGTCACTAGTGTAGTGGTGTTTCGGTGTCGAACAAAAAAAATCTGGGGTTGTACCTGGTTTCCACAGTTTTTAAAAGTTCTTGATTCCTAATCACCTTACCCCGAGCAAACTTGAATGTCATATTTTGTACATCGATAGTAATAAAGATGGATAAAATTTGTCCACCAAAATCCCAAAAGGCTCATGAAAATGCTCATTTTGACTGGCTTGCTGTAGGGATGGATCGTGACCGGGCAGAGCCAGGCTCCGGGCCGGGACTGGGCGGGACCGGGACTAAAAATTTCAGGCCCGGTACTGACCCGGGTTTGTACCGGGACCAGGCCGGGCCTAAACAGTACTGGGTCGAGACCAGGCCGAGACGGGCCTGGGCAATTAATTAAAAAGTATAGTGCAATCGAGTCCAGGCCCGGTCCAGGCTCGGCCGGGTCAGGCCTAAAACAACGAGCCTGAAGCCCGCCCTTATAGCCATCGGGCCAGGGCCGGGCCGGGCTCGGGCCGGATTCGGGTCGGGCCGACCCGTCCCGATCCATCCTTACCTTGCCGTCACGTTCTTTAGGAAAACCTTGTTGGCCGCCGAGGGTTTCTCGTACATGTTGGATAACGTTGTGAACAGTCCAAACGTTGTCTTCTCGTTGACGATGTTGTAAGCAACACTTTTCGCCAACGACAACCTCACCACACCAAGATCACGTCGATCCAGCAAGTTCCATTCCGCCTCTGCCATCGATTCTTGTTTGTTCTCAGATAAGGGTAGATGAAGCTTCTTCTGGTAGAGATAATCTTCTATCTGCATCTTCCGGAAAGCGAAATCTTGACCATCAAATTTACCGTTCTTAACCTTCCCTTCGTCAGCCATAGCTCTGATACCAATTGTTACGTGGTTCACACAATGGCGGTTCACACAATCGTGGTGATTGTGCTAGTCTACGACGAACGAGAGAGAGCAATGTATTATTATCGGCGTCAGGGTTTACAGGTACAAAGAGTCGTTTAAATAGGTCTAAAAAAACCTAAACAAGAATTAGAGCCGCAGGCCCAAAATAAAAAACCGAAATTCTATTTTTCCCGCATACCCGGTCGGGTATCCTCCTATACCCGGTCTGATATTATCTCAGAAAGGCATACCCGGGCAGATACCAGGGTGGGTAACAAACCAGACGGTTCCAAGGGTAAAAATCTTCCACATACCCGATCGGGTAAATCACCTTACCCGGTCGGGTATCACTTCAAGAGAGTTACCAGGCCAAAAACTTCTGCATACCCGATCGGGTAACCTGCTGTACCCGGTCGGGTATCTGCTCCTGCATCAAAACCAAGGCTCCATCTTTAACAGTAATGTACTCTTATTTAAGACATAATTAATACTCATACTTTGAGATTGCTTAATGCTGTTACTAATATTTTGAAAAATTTCCCATCATTCTTTTATCTCTACTCCATTGAGTAAATATATTAGTATGAAAAATAAAGGGAAAACTGTCAAATAGGTCCTCCAACTTTCATAAAAAGATCAATTAAGTCCTTCTATAGGAGGTTTTGTCCAGCCGTCGCGATTTGGGGCAGTTCCCCCTGGAATTTTTTGATGAAATTTTTGGAGCATCTTATTCACCAAGTCTAGTTTACTTATACCAAATTTCAGCTAAAAATTCAATCAGGAACACATTCAAATTAATTCTTGAACATAACTGCGCATTTTTGCGTTCTCGAATTAATTTGAATGCGCTCCCGTTTAAATTGTTAGCTGAAATTTGGTATGAGTAAACTAGACTTGATGAATAAGATACTCAAAAAATTTCATCAAAAAATTCCACCGGGAACTGCCCCAAATCACGACGACCGGACAGAGTCTCCTATAAAAGGACTTAAATGACTTTTTATGAAAGTTCGAGAACTTATTTGACAGTTTTTCCAAAAATAAATGTCACTGTATTCGGTTATTCATTCACTACGTGGTATATGTTGGTGAGATAAATAAACATGACTTGCCATTTAAATTGATACAGTAAAAGAATTCTCACCATGTTTCGCACCAACATCTTGTATAATATAAATATACTCCTAAAAAACGGATCCTAAAATTATAAATACACTCTCTCAATGGCTCTTAGCAAATTAGTCACCTAAAAATGAATACTCCTATGCTATATTCCCCCTTCCTTTTTCTCTACCTATTATTTTTAGTCCCCTTTGTCTTTTCACGACAGTTTCCGACTTCTCCTCCGGTGGTGGACGCCGACGGGAAAGAGCTCAAACTCAACGCCGCCTACTACGTCATCTCCGGCGCTGCCTTCCACCTGGAGGGTCTATGCCTGGTCAACGTCAACAATAATGAGCCCAATTCACATCCTCACGACGTCGTTCAATGCAACACCACAAAGTCCAGCGAGGCGGGCAACGACTTCCCCGTCATCTTCTCCGCCGTTGACGACGCGGAAGATCCAATCGTCAGGGAGAACGTGTCTTACAACGTTAAGTTTTCCGTCAACAGAAACGTTAGCAACGAAACCGTTTGGACCTTTGATGAGGCCCATGATCCGTTACAGAAATTCGTCACAACAAACCCAAAAGGGACCGCAATCCAATTCCAGGCCCAGAAGGTCGGCTTTGGATACAAGATCGTCCATTGCGTGGTCATTCCTATACCGCGGACACCCATTTGTTACAACATTGGGTTCATACCGGACTTTGGGTACAACCGATTGGGTATCGGGCTGGGTCTTGAACCGGTCAAGTTTTTCTTCAAGAATAACCACACCGCAGTCAACAATACCGCCACCTACTAGCTAGGTTAATTATATATAATAATAATACGTATAATAATACGGACTAATAATTATAGTTATGAATCTTATGATAACAACAATAATAAGGTTAATAGTTGGTCTAAATTTTGTTTTAAATGGAGGTGTTATTAAGGCCTTATAATCTTATTATAAGCATATAGAGTCGATTTTCGAATGTAATGGGAAAGTTTTATGATTCCTTAGTGAAATTAATAGTTAGCTTAATTTTTATAAGGCTACTTCTTTGCGAGAGTAACAATATATCCATTCATGTTACATTATTATTTGTACACAAGCCATGTGTTTGATTAAGTTTTATTTGGAGTGTTTGTTTGTTTTCATTAAGTCTTGTTTGAAATTTGAATCAAGATTACTGTGTGTACTAAGATGTATGTGAGGTTTAAGTGATCATTTGAATAATGTTGTTCACTTTTTGTACTCAATAAATAGTTTGAATTGAGAAAATAAATAACTAAAAAGTATTTTTAGCTCGATTTGTCAACGACCAATCAATATAACATATTCCACTATTAGTATCTATTTTTTATCATGGTTTCCCCCCCAAAAAATGGATCAATTGATGTCAAAATCTCTATGAGAGTTTAAGCATGATTAAAGAAGCAGTGTATGTCTAATACGTAGTGTAATCACAAGTAACGAGAGCCTTGATAATAATTGGATGATCTGAACACTATTGTTGTTGTTGTATTGTATAGCTTAACAAAGGCTTCCTCTCTTGGTTATGCACACATTTATATTTCCCAAGGGTGTGTTTGGGAGTTGGGTTTTGGATGGGAGGGGAAGGTTAATGGGGGCTTATGATCCTCTTTTTCATGTTCGGGAGTTTAAAAAATTGGAGGGGATGTTTTGGAGGGTTTTTGTAACCCTTCAAAACCCTCCAAATGTTTAATTTTTAAGTTCCCCCAATTTGGAGGGTTTTGGAGGATAATTAACAAGATGGTAATTTAAGCTAAATTAAAAATGAATATCAGCTCAATGATTTGAATTCGTCATATCGATCTGAAGGTGATTTTAATTATAATTCTTTCAAAAACCTTTCTTTTCCAATTTGATTACTCTCAAATACAAAGAAGGACTTCCTCACCCTCCCCTCCCTTTCCCTTCCAACAACATACCTCCAAAGCCTTTCTCTCCCCTTCCCTTCAAACTCCCAAACATACCCTAAGACCTAAGAGACTGCATATATGTATCACACATTTCACCAAATGTACTCATCATATATTTGAGAGAAAAGGGGCAAATGCGCATTAAACTATTAATGATTCTATAATTAGACTCCTGAATCGGAAGACCTTATAAATACATCCATTAATACCTACTATTGCCCTTTTTAAAATAATGCAATCAAACCCTTTTACTTATTCTTAATGGCAACTTCTCATGAGAAAGTTATGTTCTTATCGCAACCAGCCGATGAAGCAGATAAAAAATGATTCAATTGCTTGATTTCGATGGATTGAGAGACGTATTTACAAGATTTTTTATTAAGGGCCTGATTATAAAATCGCTAACAATGGGAAGGCTTAATAGATTGAAGAGTGATTGGACTAGACTGACTTAGTTGTTAAGCGCTCTATGATAGAGCTTTAAAGCATCAATAAATTGAGTAGAGGACTAGATTAGATGTCACTCTTTGAATTACTATAATTATATTTTGATTAAACATTGTTTTCTACAAACACTTGAAGCAAATCAGTGTAAAGCATGCAAATTAAATCAAATAATGGGTCTTTAAATATCAAGTCATGAACATTTTCACATCAGCAAACAAAAATTAGGGCTTATTGAAAGTATTGAACCAGACGAATGGAAAAGCACAGTTATAACAAATGAAGTACTTTTCTACCAGCTGGTACGTACAATCTAGCGTTAATTAATAAATGAATTCGTTGAACCAACTGTCCATCAGGTCTATAACGTTATTTTGGGGCAAACATGGAGTGGATAAACAATCTTACGTACAAACCAAAAGGTCTTTTTCTAATGCAAAGTTTTATCTAAAATACGTACACAAGCAAATGACCCTATAAAGACATTATTTGATCCATATCAATAATGGATATAGACGAGAAACACGTTTTGTTAGTCCTATAAATGTTACAAAAAAAGTAGTACCAGCCCTTCTATCCGAGTTGTGTATTTTTTATTTGAACCGACCCAAAATGATAGTTTTGTTTCTCATTTTGGTAAAAAGATTAAAGTAAATTGTCATTTATATTTCTGTTTTTATAAACAGTAACAGTAAGATTATATGAGTTATCATACAACACTTTCTTGACATTTGAACTTAAAAAGTATAAGATCATCGAATTGAAACAGAGGGTGTGATATTTAGTCTCAATTATTGTTTTGACAACCCACAAATGATGCACAAACTAACCTAATGTAAGACTTGACAGTTGAAACACAAAGACACCTAAAAGGCTAAAACTATGTATGATGAATATTTTGACCATGTCATAATTCATTTAAAAATTCTTATCCGTGCCTACAAAATAATATGCACCAATTTACTAATTAGAAATCTAATTTTAAAGGCTTATAATACAACATGCAAATACTTAAAAGTAATAAAATACATCCTCCGGTCCCAAATGAAATTCACATTTTGACTTCACACAAATTAAGAAAATAAATTTGACTTTACTGTAGAGTACACTTTTGTAACATTGTTTGACACTGTTTGAAACTGTTTGGCACTGTTTTGCACTGTTTTGATGTAGATAATTTGCCAAATAAGGAAGGGAGAAGAAGTGTGAAGTTTATTTTGGATCTACCCAAAAAGGAAAGTGTGAATTTCATTTGGGACCGGAGGGAGTACGTAGTAGTGTCATTCGATCTCTGTATCTTATTACTCCATATACTCCATAAGACACTACTCCTACTTTTTTATATTTTTCAATCATGTTCTATATGATCCATTCTATACTCCTCTTCTTTATTTGACTTTGCAATTTCTCATCTTTTTATCATTAAAGTAACCAATTTGTGGTTCTCGATCAAACCTCAACTATAAATTAAGCATAATATTGAGGTATGGTAATCACATATACGTAGTATATATGTTGTCTTCTACCATCTTTTGGTAGACAATATACTACATGAATTGTGAGTACGAAGTATATATATCGATCTCCATAGCTACCAAGCCTCTTCCCTATAAATTGGAATCTACCTTAGCTAATAACATCTCCTCAAATAAATAAACCACAAATTCAAAACATGATGACGACTCTTAACCTTCATCCTATCCAATCTCTTTTCTTCTTCTTGTCCTTTCTTCCCTTAATCGCCTATTCGTTAAGACACTTCCCTTCACAGCCAGTATTGGGCAGCGACGGGAAGGAGCTCAAGCTCGGGCAGCCGTATTACGTCTTCTCCACCCTCGTCCCCAAGGCACATGGGCTATGCCTCGTGGACAACGCCGACTGCCCGGATGATGTCATCGAGTGCCCCTCCTTCTACACTAACCTCATTGGTCTGCCCATCACCATCTCTCCCCTCAGCCCGAGCGAGGACACCATCGTCCGCGAGGATACTCCGTACCACATTAGCTTCCCCTCGGCCGTGAGCCGAAACTGCAGCGATGAAAACCTCTGGTACTACATACTAAGAAAATTTCAACACACATAATTAATCTGAAGGACTTTTCCACGTGAAAATACATTTTATTAGAGAATTGAAACGCATTGTCTATGTCAAATTTTCCGTTGCAAATATTACATTCTTGTGGAATAGTGTTAATATCGACAAATTTATTAGTTATAGAACTAAATATGCGAAGTTATCTGATAAAAAATTGCACGTGCAATTGTGTAAAAGTTACATGACTAAATTTACGGTTTTCATCGATGTTTGAATGTGAATTTCTATATAGGTACATAAAAGAAGACGAGATCCCAAACAAGGAATTCGTGGCAATAGGCCCCGAGAGTCAAGCGGAGGAATTTAAGATCCAGAAAGTTTTGGGCGGGTACAAGATCTCATACTGTGTGCTGATTCCGATTCCACCCACGCCCGTTTGTTACGGAATCGGGTTGATACCGCAGAATGGGTATAACCGTTTGGGTATCGGGCTGGGTGTCAATCTGACCCAGTTTTACTTTACTAATAATGTTACACACCACCATCACCAGGCTCCAGCCGTTACCGAAGCGGTCAACAACAAGCTACCCAGTAATCATCAAGATAGCTAGCTGATTAAGCTACAATTAATTAATAACATATAAATAATATATACGTAGTACGGAGTATTATATATACGTTGAGTTAATTGTCAAATTTGTGGCGTGTTTATTTGAAGGTTGCTTTTTGGATTTTAAACATGCAATAATAATTTGTTTAATTTATATTGTTCACCCTTCGCTTTGTACTACTAAACATGCATTGTATCAGTTGGTTTTGTTATGTTTTTTTTTTGTTTTGGCTTTTGGAACCTTTATAATGTAACGACGTACCATCATTCACATTTAATTTTATAAATTTAAAAAATAGACGACTTCTTATATTATGAATTTATATATGTACATATGTGACGAGGTTGATGTATGCTAACTTGACCGGTTCAATGGAATTAGACCTTTCCTATGAAGAAAACCAATTCGAGCTTCCCTTGCCTATGAATATTTATACATATACTTGGTATATAGTATATACATCATAAATTTACTGTCTATAAATATTTATACATAGTAAATTTTGATGGATATATATAAATATTTATACATACATACATGATACACACACTGAATACACACACATCATAATCTTTTTATTGGAGGGGGGAGCCCCCTCCAGCCTCCCCCTGTCTCCACCCTTGCTAGTTGTACTTCCTTCGTCCAAAAAAGGTTCGTCAAAATATTTTGTTGCTATCATTGTGCACGAAAAGTCAGTAAAATAAACCTTTTCAGGATCGAGCTAGGTAGAATAATATATCTTGATACATCCCCTCCCTACCTTCCCCTGCCCCAAATCCCGCCCCAATCTAACACAATACCTCCAACGAACCCCAACCCTAACCATTCAATCTGGATCATCCGCCAGAGTGCTGCACAACATCACGGATCTTGCCAAGCCATTTGGCCCACCTGGCTTACCGCAACAACAACTCAGCCGCATGCAGGCCAATTCCAGTCACCTCGCCCTTAGCCAAATGGCATCGTCGACCCCCCAATCCTCTTCATCCTCCACCACAGATAGATCGATATCGTGGCCAAGTTCCATCCCAATCGCGATTAGAAAAAAAGAGAAGAAGGAGAAGAACGAAAAAAATTGCAGACTATGGCGAGCAACGAACAAGGATAGAGATCGATCGGCTATGACGATCATATTTTTGAAAAATTGAAAAAAGATCATATTTTTGTCATTGAAAGGCCTAGTAGTTATATCCATGCCATTCTTTGTATTTTATACATGTTTTATGTGAGAATAATGGGAAATGTTACTCCCTAAGAAGCCCTGGCAGATATATTTATATTAAAAAGAGTTTAATGTAAAGTACAATACTAAACTTCTAATAATTCTATTACACCCCCTCAAGCTGTGCGGGAGATACAACGTGCAGGTTGTCTTTTAAAAAATGAAAACATTGAGTAGAGAGACTTTTAGTAAAAATATCTGCCAGCTGTAGATGAGTAGGAACGTGCTTAACAATCAGATCTCCTTGAGCAACTGGTTCGCGAACAAAGTGATAGTCTAGATATGTTTACTGCGGGCATGCTGAACAGGATTTGCAGTCAAATAAGAAGCAGAGATATTATCACATATTAAATGTACCGGCTCCGTGATTGGCCATCCAAGCTCGAACAATACCGACCGGATATGCAGTGTGTCTTGTACTGTGTAAGCAATGGTACGATATTCTGCTTCTGTGGAGGACTTCGACACGGTAGGCTGTTTCTTAGTCTTCCAAGAAACCAAATTCGGACCCAAAAAAGACAGCAAATCCTGTGGTGGACCGAGAACTATCAGGACAACCTGCCCAATCAGCATCGGAGTAAGCAATTACACAGGTTGGCCGATTAGACTGCTGAAGCCATAGCCCATGATCTCGTGTTCCCTGCAAGTACCTGAAAATTCTTTTGACTGCAAAAAGATGAGTGGTACGAGGAGTATGCATGAACTGAGACACTAAGTGTACTGCATAAGTAATATCTAGCCGTGTCAAAGTTAAATATTGTAAGGCACCAACCATGCTGCGATACTCAGTAGAATCGGACAGTAACTCACCATCAGAAAGAGACAGAGTGGTATGAGAAGCTAACGGGATGCGAACAGGCTTTACGGTATGGAGATAAAAACGGGCTAGAAGATCATAAACATATTTATGTTGAGAGAGAAACATACCTTTAGGTGTACGAATAGCCTCGACCCCAGAAAATAATGGAGATTACCCAAGTCTTTCATAGCAAAATGATTAGAGATAATCGAAATAAATTGGGTAACAGATGACTCAGAATTGCCAGTAATAATAATATCATCCACATATAATAATAGATAAATAATGGTATTATTCTGGCGGTGAATGAACAAAGAATTGTAAGATTTACTACAGGAAAAATGATGTTGCAGAAGAAAGATACTAATATATGAAACCAGGCCCGTGGAGCTTGCTTAAGACCATAAATAGCCTTGCACAAACGACATATATGATTAGGAAATTGAGGATGAATAAAACCACGGGGTTGACGCATATAAACTTCTTCTGTTAGATGACCATGCAAAAAGGCATTCTTAACATCAAGTTGTCGTATAACCCACCCAAAAGAAGTTGTCATATAAACTTCTTCTGTTAGATGATCATACGAACAGTTGTGGGTTTTACGATAGGACTAAAGGTTTCAGAGAGATCAATACCTGCCTGCTAATTAAAATCCTGTGCAACTAATCGAGCTTTATGGCGAGGATCCATCAGAATGGTATTTAGTTTTATAAATCCACTTACACCCAACAATATTCTTAGAGTTGTCAAAGGACACCAACTCCTAAGTATTATTATTAATGAGTGCATTAAATTCACCAGTCATCGCCTCACGACATTTTAAATGTTTATTAGCCTCAGTAAAACAAGTAGGATCTGCATGAGTAATAGCTGTACTTAAATTAAAAATTGTTTTAGGCTTAAAAATTTCTGCCTGAGCGCGTGTTTGCATGTGGTGCTGATTTACTACCGTAGTGGACATAGGAGAGGTGTGTACGGTTGATACATGGTCTTCCGAGGAGGTGTCCGGAGATGTATCCGACATGCGTGACAGAGTAGTATCAAGGGAGGAGGGAGGTGATGGTGGCGGGCTGGTGGTTGTAGAAGGGGACATGGGGGAGGATGGGTAGGGCGATGATACATGAGGAGTGTTGGGAGTGAAAGGTGACCTAGAAGGTGATGAGGGCGGTGGAGGGATTTTGGGAGTGGGTTCAGGAGGGGGAGGGGGCGGGGCAGGTGGGTCAAGGGTTATATCGGTGATGTGCATTGGAGGCGGTGTAGGGGGGCTAGAATGCGAAGGACCGGGTGAAAGTGTTTTAAAGGGATATGTGTCCTCATGAAACCTAACGTGACGACTAACATAAACTCGACTTGTGATAGGATCAAAACAACGATAGCCCTTATAACCAGATGCATAGCCAATAAAAACACACTAAACAGAACGAGGTGATAATTTAATAGCTGATGTGGCCGAAAAATTAGGATAGCAGGCAGATCCAAACACTCGCATAAAAGAGTAGTCCGGAACACAGTTAAAAAGTTTTTTGGTACGGAGAAAGGCCTTTTAACGTAGGAGAGGGTAATCTGTTAATAATATAGGCAGCAATAAAAATAGCATCAACCCAATATTGACTCGGAACCGAAGCTTCAAGAAGCATGCTTCGAGTTAACTCAAGTAGATGACGATGTTTGCGTTCAACAACCCCATTTTTTTGAGGTGTGTGAGGGCAAGATTTTTGAAAATAAATACCATTAGCTGTAAAGAATTGCTTCATATTATGATTAACAAATTCACCTCCCCCGTCACTTTGAAAAATTTTAATTTTATGATTAAAAAGATTTTCAACCAAAGATTTAAAATTTTTAAAGTGCATAAAAACCTCACTTTTGTGACACATGGGATAAATCCAAGTATAACGAGAAAAATCATCAATAAAACACACGTAATACTTGAATCCCAAATTTGAATAAACAGGAGATTGCCACACATCAGAATGAATAATTTCAAGAGGAAAAAAAGAATTATGACTAGCACCCATAAATGGCAGACGTTGTGATTTTCCTAAACGACAAGCCACACACTCATGAGTAAAAGGAGTATGACTACATAAAAATTGTTTTCTCTTTAGAAATTGTAAAATATCATCACCACAGTGACCTAATCTACGGTGCCACACATGGCCAGAAGCTAAAACAGAAGCAAAAACTAATGGAGATGATGACGACAGATTGATAGGATAAAGTGGCCCACTACTGGTAACTCGCAAAAGTACTGCCCCTGATGCTTTGTCCTTAATCAAAAAAGAATTTTTATAAAAAATTAGAGTACAGTTATTATCAGCGCAGAGCCTTTGAATTGAAATTAAATTATATTTCAACTGGGGCACATGATAAACAGATTTTAAAGTGAGAGGACGACCAGAGGTAGGTAATGCAACATCGCGAACATGACGAATGGGAAGATGGGCATCATTAGCAATACTAACAGAATTATAGCCGGTGTAGGGAGATTTATTACTCCCTCCTCCGTTCCCCTATAATTGTCCCATTTTTTCATATTTGGATGTCCCACTATTATTGTCTCATACCATATTTGGTAACATTTGTGTGACTCTAATTCGTTCTTACTTTATTCCCAGTTTATCAACTCATTATATATCAACCACATAATTTTACTTTCCTTGAAAACCACACCACTCCCTTCCGTCCCTATATTAGGGGGACGAAGGTAGTAACTAAAATACCTTCAGATGCAGTCATATGAGCAGAGGCTCTCGAATCAGGATACCGTAAAGCAGGATTAGCTTCACCAGGAGTAGTCAACATAGTAGGAGCGGATGGTTGTGTGAAACGAGAAGGACAAGTGGCATGCAGCAGAATGACCTACAGAAAAGCAAATCTGACAAACAACAGGATGAGGAACAGACCTAAGATACCCCCGTCTGATGGCAAGCCCGCGGAACTACAGTTAGTAACACAAACAGGTGAAGCATTAATATTTAAATGTGACACAGCAGAATTACAAATAACAGTACCCGTAGATGTCACACCCCCTGCATGGGAACCCGGCTGACCACCCCCTCCGGGGAAATAAGCTGACTCCCTTGAGGATACCAGTACACCTGCTTCTAGCCATACGGTACTGAATGCTGCTGTCCACAACCTCTTCCCTTGCCGCCGCGGCCTCTGCCTCTCCCGCGACCTCGTCCGCACTGCCGATTGCCGGACTGACACTGCTGCCTGACCGGGTGAGCCTGCTGCCCGACTGGGTACGAGGAACTGGAATGCTGCGAGGCCGAATGTCAC